ATAGAGACTGGTAGAATATCATAGAGGGAAGCACAATGGACCAATACTGGTCTCAGTGCATGGGGAAACCCACCCTCTCCAATAACGAACTAACTAACTAACTAACTAACTAACTAGTACTCAAATTTGAAATTACGAGGCTCGGGGTTTCCGAAGGTACAGAAGCATGTTCCGGGACCCCTTAGACTTAAAATCATGCCATGAAAATCATGACCGACAGAAAAAATAATACTATTGTGTTACTGAACATAGGCAGAGTGATGGAATGAAATGAAAAAAAAACTCACAAAAAAAATCGTCTGGCGCAGCCTTCCTCTACGAGAATCGAATCCGTTTTGTGATGTGAGAGGCCAAAACACCAGCAATTAGACACGATCTAAGGAAGTCTGTCTGCCTTGCATTGAGATGCACTTCAGTGCAGCATGACTGTAAAAAAACTTGGCACGTTCTCCTGTCCATGACGAAAGTATTCATTAATAATGCTAAGCCTCCAGTCTACTGACAAGCAACGTGAAACTAGTAATAGTTCATAACAAAATAGCTCATACGAAGAGTTACATCTTCTGCGATGTAGCGCCGTGTAGTCCCATGAAAGTCAATTGACGTTTCGGGGAGCACAGTCCTACTTGAGAAGCCGCCAGGCGCTTAGCCACTCAAGAACCTCCCAAAATTCTATGGAACCCGAAGGTTCATTACTGTGCTTATAAGAGCTCTCCACTGATCCTTATCCTGAGCCAGATGAATCCAGTCAGTACCAGCCCATCCTATTTCTCCAAGATCCACTTTAATACCACCTACGTCTGGGTCTTCCTAGTGGTGTCTTTCCTTCTGGCGTTCCCCCCAAAACCCTGTACGCATTCCTCTTCGCTCCTATGTGTGTTACATGACCTACCCATCTTATCCTCCCTGACTTCATCACCCTAATAAAATTTGTTGAACAGCCAAATTTATGAAGCTCCTCATTACGCATGTTTCGCCAGGCTTCTATTACTGAATCCCTTTAGTCCGGCACTCTGCTCTCAAATACCATCAGTTTACGTTCTTTCCTTAATGTGGGAGCCCAAGTTTCATAGCCAGAAAGTGCGTATTTGTCTTCCGACCCATATCCTCAACTTATGGCTTCTAAGATATAATTCTTGGAAACATTATGTTAAACCCCTATGCCTAATATTCCTAACTCAACAGTTTATTCATTACGGACAGGGTGGTAAAAATAAATACCTTTGCTCTCATCCTTAAGTGACCCATGGTTTAGAAATTAATTTCTCTCACAAATATTTCTAGCAGTCACTAGCAGATATTACAGATCTTTCAGTTACGGAAAACACGCCTTAAAATCAGCCATTTTTGGTCTTCAACAATCTGCTTCTCTTAATTCAGTGTTTAGCATGGAAAACACAAAATTCTGGATATCTCTGTTTAGGCACTCTGAAAAAGTAATTGAAAATTCCTTTCAAAAAGGCGTTTGATAAACTACACAATCCTTACTTTAAATGTTTACTTTAACATAAAGCATGGGAGAGATATGATATTCCAGTTTTAGGTAACCTTTACCATACGTCCTTGATTTAAACTGTGTTCGAACTAAGCATGAAACTGATATCACTTTTAAAAGTCCACTATACACTTTCAACAAACAGATTACAATCACAAATACAAATATTTCGTTACAAAATTGTCAGTATTGGTATTGCAAAAAAAAAAAAATGTGCGATCTCCGTCTTTCGTCGTTTGTTCCGTCTTTATAATGCACCTTTCGTTTGTTATACACAACAAAGAATTCGTCTGTAAGAGAGCGCAGAATTCAACCACAGGTATCCTATCAAACAAATATTGTAGCACTCAGAATAGGGCCACTGCACTTTCTCGCATTGCTTCTAGACATTTAAACTTACATAGTTCAGTTTACTTGTCTTTCTTGTCTTTCCTATCCCCTTTCCTTTCTCCCTCTCCTTTACTTTAAGTTTAAGTAAACCACTAAAATCATGCATTTACACATAAGACAAATGAAAAATATCATCCGTGCTACGTCCTAAGCAATTTCAACATTACTGTAGAAGACTGTGTCGTCTGTGAGAGCAGAAAAGAAGTCGGCGTAGAGCATATGCAAACTGGCTTACAGACTTCGATATATCGATCCTGAAAACTTCGGCTGACCTACAAACGCTATTAACAGTGTAGGTGGGAATATCACAGTTGTGATCACTCGTAATTTTCGTTTTTCGGACAATTAATGATTTCATGCTCTGCAGAAGCAGAGTATTTTAATTAAATAACAAATAAATTATTAATATATTTTCTAGACAATTGACTCACAGACGGTGAGGTTGTCAGCGTTAGACGCCGGCCGCCCTTGACTCGCCAAGAATATTCCTGGTACTCATTTCTGTTAGAGGCTGAGTCGACCTCAGGGCCATAATGTGGCTGGAAGGATTATATCAATTGAAAAATTCAATGACCTCATCGGTAATCGAACCCAGACCTTCCGGCTAGAAGCATAGTGCCTCAACCAACTACTTAACCGCGTGGCCCAATACTACAAAGTAAACAAATAGCACTTACTTTGACTGCAGGAAGAAGGGCCTGCATGTCTTCACTGACTATGAGACCCAGTGACTGCGACTCTGCGGGACGATCTAGCTGCTCCCTGAGGAGGGCCACACACTTCTCTAGGATCAAGTTGAACATCTGTAATGACACGACGAGGGCGTTTTCCTGAACCGCTGAACGATAACCGGGTTCCAAATGAGCCACTTCTGTAACAATCAAGAGAAACAGCCCCTGCATCAACCCTTCCATCTTATATTAAAAGTTTATGAGAACAAACTTTTTTTTTTATTGGCTGCTACAAGATGTAAGCAAAATGGTACAAAGACTAGTTCGCTTGAACTAACAATCTCTTTTAATTTGACACTAAGTTACTAAGATTATATGAAGTTACGTTCGCCCATCGGATCCCTTAGCTGTCGGGCTGCTTGGCTAGTTCGTAAGGTTTGGTCCGTTTGAGTTACCTGGTTAGGTTTCCCACATTTAGGAGCCTGGACGCTTCTTCATTGATGTGCTGTCGAAGTCGGGAGAACAAACGTGCATGTAAATTTGCTGCAGACATCTGCAGAATACCTCAAGGAACTTACTGCTCAAAATCAACGCGACTTCAATTGCAGTACGGGATTCTTGTAAACTTACTTCACTATACAGAATGCCGCAGGAGGAAATGTCAATATTCTTGGAGGTCACAGTATCAGCTATTCTAACCAAAAAAAAAAGTATGTGTACAAACGTCTTATTCCGAGCGGTTTCCTAGAGAGAGCTGTGGATGTTATCGCCCGCACAAAGGAACGTCAGGATGCACTCAGAGCAGCAACACGCCATGTCCTCGCACAAGTTGCGACGCGCACTGATGCTGACGGTGGAATTTTCGACAATGTATTATACTACGTACTCTACCAACTTTGTCACTTGAACAATACCGGTATCAGAAACAGTACATAACATCTCTAATACACGTAGCTCTATCTCAGAACCCGTTCGGAGTATGACACAGGTACATACAGGTCTGCTTAGAATGACGGATATTATGACTTTCCACAATACTCACCTTCCCCTCTGGATCACCCTGTATATGTTCTTTTTGTGTAGCTATTAGTTAACCTGAAGGTGATGGCATAGTTAGTTATTTAGAGAGGGTGGGTTTCTCCATGCACCGCGACCAGTTTGATCTATTGTGCTTCCCTCTATGATATTCTACCAGTCTCTTTACCCTACCGATAAATGGTGCGTACCATCAGTCCCGCCGAGCAAGCGAGTTCGGCCACTTGCTTAGCGATGTCTATAATGCTTCCCCCATCTATCAGAGGCCTTAGAG